CGCTTGCGTCAAGCAAGTACTTCACTCCTCCGAGTACGGTAGATTAGCACCAGATTTGTCTCGGGAGTAAAAATACCAAGTTGTACTTTGGCTGACCCTCGAGCACCCAATTCACATTTGAAAACAGCTACGAAGTAGAGCGCGTGGCGCAGCCCAAAATAGGGGCTGGTCAGCTCTCAGCCCTATCCATTTTGTTTACAGATCTTCGGATTTTTTTTTCTGTAATCAAAAATAAGATGTACCAACCTGGTCCATTCTGCACCTTGAGAGCGACACGGAATGTTTGCACAAGTGAACCATTAGCATCATCCAAATGGTAAGCCGCAACATCACCACTAAATCATGAGTACTTTGCTTTCACTGGCTGGTTCGTGGGTGATAGTCCAGGGAGAGATTGACTAGCTTAACCCTACTGTTGTAGAATTACTGCTCATAATTTTGATAGAGTAATGCATGGGATGGAAAAGCCATTTCGAAAAGGCTCAATGTGAATATTTTGCGAGATCAGCAAAACCTTCCAGAGGAACCAGGAGGATTGGACGGTAACAGCAGCCAATATTACAATCTTAACGGACAAGTGACTTGCGGCTTGCAGTATGTGGAGGACCATAACAAGCTTAGGTTCATATTAGTCAGTATTTTAACAGCAAACATTCCAACATACTGCAAGCAGTAATGTTCGGAGGCAACCGGAGCTGGAAGGGGCACGTGGCAGCACGGGTTCTATCAATTGGATGTTCCCTCGCTGCGAAGGTCCAGAGGTATTTTCTCCACCGCATCTTGTGGCTGAGCATCTGAGTTGAGGAGAATAAGGAAGAAAGGAAAAGAAGGACGGAGGAACGAAAAAAAAGGAGCGTGGCTTCGCGGAGTACTACCTGTACACCGAAGAGATTCAGCGCATCGTGCAACAGAACACATATCCATCAAGAAGATGCCTGTTGACAGTACTAGGTAAACTTATGAGATCACCGATCAACTTACTTTGCGCAGCCAAAAGTCAACAATCAATTATTTGTGATGTCACTGCACGTCGCATCCTTCATATTGAGGGCCCAAACACCAAGAATAGTCTGCAAAGATAACGATGAAGAAGCCGAAGCTAGACCAGACAATTGGAAACAAAACGGTAATCTTATATTACACTGGGATGAAATCGCGAATCCGAAGAGGTAAGAAGTGCAGCGCGACCATCTGATAACACTATACAGTAGCCTCCTACTAATGGAGCGTAAACTGCATCAACCACATGAGTAGCCGGGTCGGTAACAAAGTCAGCTGAAAAAAAAAACATTTAACTTGGCTACCACAATTATCTTTTAGTATAACTTATACAGGCTCCCGAAAATTTGCTACTATGGACTTTTTAGCGAATGTACAGAACAGTGGGTTTTAGTATCTGTTCAGTACATCTTGGAGACTTAACTGAGCTGTGCAAAACTCCCCGAAAGACAGCACCACATAAGAAATCGTCTTCAAGTGAGGTTGCGTTCATACTTCACGTCAGCGTTTCGACCGTAGGAGGCGTTTAGAGCGGCTAGGAGAGCGTCGGTATCGATCTAGCGTTTTGTGCGTCTTCACGGGTAGTTTTGAACTTTTCTCGGGCAGTCGCTGAAAACACTGCCGTACGCTCGGAACGCTGACGTAAAGTATAACTCAGCCTTAACGTAACCATACAATTAAAGCTTCCAGACATGCAAAAAAAACTCGGGAGGATTAAAGCTGCGTCCATACTTTGCTACATGGCTTCTTGAGATCTGACGTTTTGAGGGAATCAGTAGCAAATTATAAACGCAGCCTTATTCGGCTACTTCCGAAAACAAATTGAAATTACCAACGTTTTGACTGCAGCTGATCATGGGCGAAAGGCACAGTGGGAAGCCGTATAGAATATTCAGCTCGAACCTGACCCTCCCAGGAAATATGATGAATGAACCCATTCCGTAAGCATACGAAAAGTTCCTCACGAAGTGGAACACAACTAAAAATGTCACATTTGGTCACGAAACTAGTGCCTGCGCATCAAATACAGTAAAACCACAAACCACGTTGCTGATGCAGCAAGGTTGACTACCACTGAAGGCGCTAAGGAGATTGATGGCCGAGCTCCACGCAGGAACAATTCTTGTGAGCAACGTCGAAATTGAATATCAGGAGGATCAATAAGATTATAACAATTTTCGCCAGAAGCAACTACTCGATAAATAAGTAGATTGTTACGCGATGTCTAAAAAACGTGACTGTAGCCAGATTTATAACGGGGAGTAAGTCAATAACATCTCTAATTTTTTAAGGGCACGTGTGAACGGCGAAAATTTTGGCTATACCTTAGTTTTCTTTTTCCCGGCTAATATTTCTGAATTTGTTCGAATTTTTTTAACTGAGGTCAGTGATTCCCATTTTTTTTTGACACTTTTTATCGAACCGCTAGTAACAGGATAACAATTCATCACAGAAACTGTCTCAATACATGTAACACGGCCCCGTGTTTATTTGTGTCCGCACGGGTGTCAGGCAGCATTTAATCTTGACCATGGTAGTACGATGCCGCAACAGGCACAGAAGATGTAACAAATTCGCAGCTAAAAAAACGTGAGGAAAGCGCGACCCGCTCGCGACGAGATCAACGCTCCGCCCAGTGACCACGGCAACGCCCGATTTCCATTCGCTGAGGCCATCTAATGAGATAGATAGCCAGATTGGTTCAGATCCTGCATTGCTCTCCATTTCGTATGTGAGAGGAAAGAGCTGACAGAGTAGTATCATAGACACATCCTTCTTTCGCTTTGTGCACAGTGACAGACAGGTACAATATACAGGGCATGTGCCAACGTGTCGTTTACTACATTTTGCCTTCGACTGAAATTGCTATTGAGCGCAACTTGTCATCAGTACCTGAGCAACATTGGTTCCGGCCGTCATTTTTAAAGCCGCGAGGCGAGATCTTAAACGACACGCACGAAATTAGGCCATCTACCATTCGACCGAGTGCCGGCGGATTGTTCAGAAAAAGCTCTATAAAAACTAAAAAATAGGCCAAGTGGCAATATTCTTTAAGAATAATGATTTAAAGCGAATAAACGACAAATTTCTTCAGCTACAGGCAACGCTCCCCTGTGAAATACAAACCCTAGAGTACCTTCTTTCTATTACCACCTAAATGCGACCCCGACCACGCAACGTGAAGATACCAATAGAGCGGAAATAGCAACAAAGTCCTATTTGGCAAGCAATTATAGAATTCCAAAGAAAAACGAAATAAAAAAAGCAACAGAAAAGAAAACGCTGTATTGCAGAACCTACCGTGATAACAATATGAGAAGAATCATAATTCCAATAGGCTTTATTCAAAGTACCCCTCTCGATAACATCGCCTGCTGATATTCTTAACGTACACAACAGGAGATGAGGCTGAAAAGAATGAAATTCTTAACTAAACATGCCTTCATTCGCTTAGTGCTCTATATCCAGAGAAAGAGCTCCTGCTATGGCTCTTAAATGAAATGACCGCTGAAGCTAAAGAGCTGCCGCCGCTGATCCAATCCGTTTCGGAATGAGGCACGCTTTCCCAGTCCTTGCAGACCAATCTGAAACCATCTTACTAGCCCCGGAGGTTAAAAGACTTCTTGACTTCGGTGAAAGCCGGGATTCGATCCCTGGATAGCACGCATAGGCACTTATCACTACATAACCCCTCCCAGAATGATCGCCAAGAATCTTTTTTTTTCTATAGAGTCTATCAGTGTTGCTAAATGTGCCGAATCGCGTTATGCGAGGGAAACTGGTCAACCAAAACGAGCCTCCCGACCAGAATAAGGTTAGAGCTTTGAGTATCAATCACTCTTCGAATGCACCACACTGCTAATGCGTCGATATCCCGCGATACCCCCCCCCCACTCCTCAGTGTGGATGTTTACGCGAGCCGCATGTGAGACACAAGATGTATGAATCAGTGTTTTCATGCTGCCATACGAGTCGATTAATCACCCCATTTGGGTAAAAGGTGGGAGCCGATCCGATATTTCACCCCTCCCTTCACCCTACCCCGTACACGTGACAAGAAAACAAAGAGAACATTGGTCGTTACAGAACCAGAACCTCCGCCCTTCCATGGCATCCTGCAGGAAAAAAGGGAAACTCAAGGAAGTTAGATGCCATAGTTCATGGGCAACCGGTTCATCCGATGAATAAATCACAAAACTAATGTATGCACAAAAAGCAGGCAGTTTAGCGACAGAGAGCATTTTGTACTCTCGCTGCTTCACTAGTTTCGGTCTACAAGTCTAACTCCGGTGAAACCTGTGAGCAATATGAAGCCGGAGCAAGCTCGTCGGGCCACCATTGTGAATGGCATTTTTGTGGTTTCTCAAGAGTTGACAGTGGTCTCTACAAACTCTTGCTATATCATTTCGTGGCTTCACAAGATTCCACAGGTCTCCGTGGCTCTCCGTGGCAGGAAATGCGGAAGTACAACGTGGGCCCCCCCATCACTGAACC